ATTACGTGGATATTTATTGTATGCAACTCATAATTTGCGTCACTGAGCCCGATCAGTATCCCGCACATTTTGGCAGTCTACTACAAACTTATTGGCACAGACAAAGAAAAAGCTACATCAAAGAAAATACACTAAACAAAGATTATAAGAATGGGAAATAAGCTAGATGGACGATAACTCAGTCTATTGTTTACGTAAGAGCTTCACGGGTACTAGCGAAGTGCGAACTTGTTAATTTTTCTGAGAGTTTATTAATCTACACGCCAACATTCTGCAACCGGACCGGTTCGACGCAGGAATGTCGAATCTGCTTTAAATTGTACTTTTAAGCGTTAAAATTATAAAAAATATCATCATAATATACGATATTTCAGCCTCAAAATAATTCATAATAACTAAGCTTTCAATTTATTAGTTAGTAAGGAAATAAGTTAATTTTGTGATAACAAAGCGCTTAGAAATTATTTGACCCTCATAATTAATTAAGCATAATTTATATTATATTTATTTATCATTTATTGTAGTCACCTTGGGTTTGGGCAAGGCTTGGCACCTTACAGTGGGTTAAGATACTAATAATGCCGATCAGCCCTAGTGATGCGACGCAGAACGAATGAAAATGCAAGCAGCCTATTCTATGAACACGCTGTTGGTTTATTCATGAAACGTAGGAGCTTAGTTTTAATGAAAATAGATCATGTAACTTCAAGTCGCGTCCGCACAGACAGTAACTTACTCGTTCTCGTCCGTTGTAGATAATGCGTAGTAACTTGCGCAAGTGCTCCTATTGTGCATGAAATTTCATCATAATAATACTTGCTATAAATAAAACTGCCAGTAGAAGTAGGATAGTTAGTAGCGAAGTTATTAGCGTTCTTATATATTAAATCGCTTGTCCGTGGCAGTTTCATTATACTGGCACTACTTAAAGCAGGGATGATCCAGTAGGTACACTTGAATGCTAAAGTATGTATTATTAGTACTTGCGTAAGCTACTCTGCATGGTCTTCAACGGGCATGTATATGGATATATAGACGACGGTGGTTTGAAAGCAGCTCACGTAAATAAATAAAGCTTGAACGAAAAAACAACGACAAAATTTCTGATTGTTGTTTACGGCCTCCTGCTGTTGGTCTCTCTATTTTTCTTTCTCTCTCGCACATTTCTGAGAGCGAGAGAGAAAAGTCCATGGTGTCAAAATGCGTGTTGGTGGATATGGAATAAATGCATACGGTATACAGGCATAATAAATATTTTATATATAAAAATTGTTACGCCTGGGGACTATGATGGTAATATCTCACGGCCTGTTGTCATACTGGTTCTCTACACCTTACCCAAACCAGAACATGGGAGTGCAGGCCTAGTTTCTAAACACTCTTGCTATCTGTACTATTCGATTCCTTGCATTTTATAGAAACGAACTGGAAATCAACCAGCCGAGAAATGTGATTATAAATTCATTCTTGTTTTAAGTTGCCAAATTATAATAATTTTTATGAAACAGCGAACGTCGCGTCGCTTCATTTTTGAATTAGACTAAAATTATCAAGAGCGGAATTTACTAGTGGGGTTTTATTCTCAATCACGTTATGTTCGCGAAAGTGCGAGCTCTGTTGACATCTAAATATAGACGACCTGGCACCGGCGACCGGTTGATTCCAGTCGGAATTCTGTCACCGTGACATACTGTTATTGAGTATATTTATGTTGTTTATCACTGGGTCGCCGCATAAACATTGGACGCGGTCATCGCTCCTTGAAGCGTTGCGTTTAGTTTACAGAAATTCCGAATCGGCGTGCATTTCCGATGCCCTTATCTCAGGTGTATCGGTCACTGAACTTGTGGCACGAGAGTGCGACGTTCACTCTGCCAGAATTAAATTTGAGACTTCAATTTTTAGTTCGAATTTTGAAATAATGACTATTTTTATCTGGTCTTACTTTTTTTTTGTTAATATTGCTTTGATATGACCAGTGCAGCTCATCAAAATACCTCTGCTGAACATAGGCCTCACCCAAGGACTGCCACAATACACGGTTTTGAGCTTTTGAGCTACAGACATTCGTCGTCTTCCTGTAGACCTCATCAATCCTCATCATACCACATCACCTCAATCTAGTTGGGGATGTTATACTTTTACTCTTGTCGTCCTGCCCCATCGGCTATCGGTTGTACAGTAATATGGATTAACAAATACAAATAAATGAATTACTAGCTTCTATTAAAATGAAGCATCATTTAAAATAAAATTATATTTATTTCATGGCAAGATAAGAAAAAGTGCGAGGGAGATGGATATTATTCCATCTCGCTTCCTTATAGCCGTCAAGGCCGTCTACACAACATCAGAAGCGGTTGTGACGGAAAAATCTTACACTTTTTGTCGCCTAGCCCCCATCCGCCAAATCCGTACCGTCCAATAAAGAACTTCGTTCCAAAAACTGCGATTGCCAACTAGCCTGACCAGCGAGCCAACTATGGCACATATGAGAATCTAAGGGGGAGGTCTATGTTCAGCAGTGGACTTTTGATTGGAAACGTCGACGCGGTGACAGAATGATGAATCTATCCCCCATAAAAATCGTAAACAGTAGATGATTATTGGATACGAATGACTGGTGTTACTACTAAATCTATCAAGTAGAAAAGACATCGAAAAAAAAAGATATAGGTATTTAGTTTTATTTTACTCTTAAATCTACAATTTTCTCGTGAATAGCAATTTAGACATTTAAGTTGATAGAAACATCGTTTAGAGGCAGTACGAGCCTGTTGGAGGCAGCCCGCGGCCTCGCTCGCCAAGTGGATAATCACGACGAGTGATGTGAATTTGCCTACAGGTGGACAACAAGTTTCAAATGTGTTTATTCAATCAATTCGTACGTGTAAGATGGACGTTTTATAGAAAAACATCATTAAATTGATGAAAATGATCAATTTATCTACGCTTCCACGAAACTTTATGTATATAACTGTGTGCTTAATAAAACTGTTTGTTCGTAACGTACTAAAATATCGGACTATTAAAAAGTATGATTTTATTGTATTTTAATGTGAAATATTTTAATATGAAGAATGAACATATATTGAAAGAGTTATTATTGGTAACTTAGGAGAATTTTGATTTGAATCGCTAATTGCAAAAAGGGGGCACATGGTTAATATGTAGTCAAAAAAGTAAGTTTTTCATTTTCGAACGTATTTTATCATTATACATCATTTCTGCAAAAAGGACACATGAGCAGCTAGCCAGTATCGAGATATCAAACGCAGAGTAAGGTAATTTGTTACATAAACGGCACATGGTCGTTAGCATGTGCCCTTTTTATAAAAATTTTAAGTTTCTGTCGCAGAACTTTTAGTTCATAAATATAGAAGGAAAAAATTCTATTCCGCTATGGATAACAGTTTCAAACTAGTCAAGCAAAATAAAAAAAAAATATTTTTTTATTTTTTTGAAAAACGTTTTTTTTTTCTTTTGAAAAACGTTACCTTCACTCTAAGATTTTCTCCTGTGACGTGAAGGCAGTTTACAAACATAAATTGCACGAGGACAAACAAAAAATTGCTGCGATTTGATTTGATTTTATGGCTGTGTTAGATTTAACGAAGATACCTGCACAAGAAGTATATTATTTCCGTCAGCTTGGAGTGAACACCTTTGGTATTTATAATACAGGAAGTGACAGGGTGACTTGCTATGTATTTCATGAAGGAATGGCAAAGTGACCAAGCATTTGTTTTGGTCTCATTAAACGAAAATTAAAAGAATTTGACAGACTTTACACAGTAGATGAGTATGTGCAAGAAGTTATAATGAATTAATCCAATATTAAAGATAAGTTTACTGTGTTTCTGGCAGATTCTTCAATTATCAATGATGTCCACAATTGGTACCCAAAATTTTATTATAAGAATAAATAATCTGAAGCTCGAGGTAACTCAGCCTCAATTCCATTCACAATATCAAAATACCACTATTTTGAATTTAATGACAAGGAACTAAAAGTCGTTAAAACTAAAGAATTTATTGGTGGCCTAGTATCTCATTATTTTCATTTGAGAAAACCTACCACGATTCCAGTGAGTTTGCCTTTAGAAAAACTTTATCATAATAAACTACCTCTACTGGAATGTAAAATGGAAGATTTAAAAAAACTTATTATATTTCTAGTTTATATTCCTTCAAAATATAACACTTTATGGAATGAACTTTATGAATGGCCAACTGAAAATCGTACGGAAAGGGATAGTAGAATGCGTAATTAATCTGTATACCCATGTAAGATCACAGTTATTTTTAAACAGCGATGTATGCTTGGAAAATAAACATTATTTGAAATATTCCTTGTTTAATTTTTCTATTAATTTTGTATGAAAAAAATAAATTTCACTGCATAAAGGACTCATGTCCTATGTTAATAGCAAAAAGGGAACATGTGCATGTTTTCTTTTGGCAATTAACTAATTAACTAAATTTATTTAAAAAGAAAACTTTATTTTCTCATAGCAAATATCAATATAAATGACCATAAAAAATAAAAAATGTTTTATTTTGATTAATTCAAAAATAAAACAGTTTTTTGTCTCTGCTGAACATTTTACATGTAGGGACATGTGTCTCTTTTTGTAATTAGCGATTCATTTTTAATCGGGCCAGCATCCAATTATGAGGTTGGGTTGTGTGCTCGTTTGGGTGTAAAGTACAAGTACCTATGCAAAAAAAAAAAAAAAATTGTATACATAATATGTATGCAATGGTTGTATTATTACAACTAAGACAATAAGATAATAAATACAGCCTGTAAATTTGATTGTGTAATTTTATATATAACAAACATCTTTTTAGTTTCTATATGCTGTGTGCACTTTTTTTGGATTGTAGTTTAGATCAACGCCATTATACTTTTCATTTTAGAACTGTATAGAACTACTGTCTGTTTGTGTGTCTTATTCAATAAAATAAGAAAATGAAAATAAATGGTATTGTTGCAGGTGTTCGGCACAGTGGAGCTGCCGGACAAGCCGATCATGCTGCCGCCTTTCGTGGAGGCGACGCACTGCCTCGGCTACCACTTGACGCGCAAGGGCCGAGCGGTGGCTGACCGCGTGGTCTCTGTATTGGGCTACGCCTGCCCCGACATCACTTACAGTCCCAGTTTGTATCCCATAACTGCGGCGCTACTACATTTTATGCCAGGTAAGTTTTTTTTTTTTTATATTAAACTGGAGCCGAAACGAATGTTGAGGTTATCTGTCTGACTTATTCTTCTTCCTCGTCTTCAGCTCGTAAATGTCCCATGCTGGAGATGGTTCTTTACCTTTGTGGGGATAGGATTTGCCTTAATCATCACACTTTGATAGAGGGTTGATGATCCCAGTACCAGACGTCTCGCACCTTTGACACTTCTGCAATTTTTGCGGTCTGTCTTATTGTTTCGAAAACGTTGCTATAGAGAATTTGTAAACTTACTATTGCTTTCCTCTATCTTTAAGAATTTGTTTTTTTAATACGTGGTAGAGCCATGCTGCAGCTATATTAGTAGATATAGTTGTAGCACGAATGGGTCGGCTCGACCGGGGAAGCACCACGCTCTCACAGAATACTAGCGTAAAATAACAACTTAACGCTGTTGTGTTCGTATGGTGAGTGTAGAGAACCGGAGACCCCTTTTACTGGAAAAGAGGCATCACATCTTAGTCCTCACGGGTGATCACGCATCTGCATTTTGATTCTTTATTGAGGATATATGTAGTTGTCTATGGGTCACAGCAACCACTTACCATCAGGTGGACTGTCGTTTATCACCCTAATTCTATAAAAAAAAATTGTACCTTACTTTACGTATGCATGCGACGAAGAATTTCCTCAACACTTGTTATTTTACTTGATAATATTAAAAATAATTATTGATGTAGCATTAATAAAAGCGAAGTTTTCAGTGCAAAGACATTTTTTTCTTAAATTTTTTTTATCTTATAGTCTATTATAATTTTTTCTGTGTTAGTTCTCTGACGGATAAAACTGACAACAAATTTTGAGTTGAAAAATGGTCAAAGCATATGCGAGTTTTGTGTAGAGTTTCTTAAAACACTAAAGTTATCTATTTTTATTCATTATAGATTATTCATTAATCCTGTACGATTCTTTTATAGTTTAGATTCATCTACCTTCTGTAATGTGAGTACTGTTAGCCTTTTATCTTTTACAGCTTCATCGGTTCATTACAAATCACATTTGAAATAGTCGTCGTTAAATTTTAACTTTTATGAATCCTTTATAATTATTCTGTCTTTACAATAATAGTAAAATTAATTTAGTTCACACGCTATTAATTTTAAAGCATTTGGTTTCCTTCGTAGAGCACGAGAGTCTTAAATAGCAGCCGTTAATTTTATTGCTCGGTTCGCTAGCTTTATTAATTACATACATCTGAAATGATTGCTTTATTAGGTTTTCATTACCGGTAGTCCGGACGCGATTAGTTGTCTAGCGATAAGACGGCAGTTGATAAAACGTTGACTGCGGGCCGCGGGTTCGATACTCACACGTAACTAGTATTTGGTATGGCCTAGACATAATTATCATGGGTCTAGAATCTAGATGTTTGTCTTTTTGCAAATTATATATTATGTAGTTTCTCCTGTATCCCCAACGATACAGGAGAAACTGCTATTGTGAGAGTCGCTGTTTTAAAAAGTAAGTGAGAGCTTGGAACGTTACCTAAAAATTTAACCGACGTTTTAAAGTTTATGCTTTTCTGAGGATTTTGAAATCTAGAGAATACCTGCTAAAAATCTGTGTTTGTCTTTGTATACTTTGATTTTATCTTTAATATAATCTTTGTCCTCTTTAACCTCAATAACATTTGATCCCGAAAACATCCATTCAATTAAATTACATATTTGTATAGCGTAAGACAACAACATATTACATAAATCTTCCTCTAGATTCAGAGGAATTGCAGAGGCGTCACAAAATTTGCAGTCACTCTCGTCTTAATTCAGTAATGAGTGCGGGGGGCGATAATAGAGCACAGTAATAGGCAAATTGCTGGAGCTGCTTCTTCTACACTTTGTAGTGACTGTACCCGCAATGGATTTCCACCTCTCAACTCAACGCTTTAAAGATCGTTATCAAATTGTGCACCGAGTGTCTCCTTGCCCTATTTTATCTTAATCTGCTTTGAACTCTCCTGCACGGCAATAAAGTTCTGTTTAGGATGACGTCTGTTGTGACCGAGTTCACGTGATACGATAAATGGTTGTCACATCGCTACAGATTTGATTCATATTCGTCATGCTGTCAATTCTGTACGTCTTACTCCTTCGGACGCAAGTATAATTGCTTGGAATGTCACCGATATGACGTTATTCGTTTTGAAGTTTTTAAATTTCGAATGTTTCAAAATTTCTCAGCTAGGATGAGGCGCAGTAATTTAGAAATTAGAACACCTGTTTGTCAACGTGCCGCATTCAAGGAGGCGGTAACCAGCGATGTCAATTTGTCCGCCGGATGTAGCGAAAAGTATCCATTTCCTTCTTAGTGCTATCTGCGCACCTTTTGTCGGTCCACTTGTTATTATTTTAAAGTACACTGCGCAATTTCCGATTTAAAGTACCTCCCTGTCTAGTTTATACACTTATATAACTTCCTTCTTTTTTAAAACCCATCGTGAATACAATACAAATATTCAATATTAAATGAATTAAAAATATCAGCCCTTTACTGGCAAGCTTAGTTTTAGGTAACGCACTACTAAATAGAGAAGACTTAATATAAAATATAATATACCTATGTATACAATAAGTGTGTCAATATTAAATGGGGAGGAAGGCCTATATTTAGGATAAAACTTGCGAAGGGCTAACATTAGTAAATGAATGTAAGATAGTTGATTTTATTTCGTTTATTTTTAACATTTTAACTATCGACTTTTTGAGCGCTTTACAGCACCAATAGTTACTGGGGTAACTCAAGTGTTTGACGTCTTAATTTCCTAGGTAAACCGACTTTGATTATATACATGTTATGTAATCAAAGTAAACCGAGCTTCCTTCAGCTTTTAAATATTAATTTCTAATGCGATCTACGCAAAACGAGCTTACCGTATCCTGAAGTCCCTGCAGTGGTAGGCTTGGGTTTGAATTTAATTTTATGAATTGTGGGATACCAAGCAGATGCCAGCACAGCAGAGCACCCAGCCATCTTGGGATGTTTTTTAATGTCAATAGGATTAGAAGTAGAGTAGGCAAATGCTTGGTAGGAATTGGTGTTCTTTTACTTTTCTCGTAAAAAAAAAATATGTCTAATTCACAATCAATCTTGTTCACTTTTACATCCTAAAATTAACGTATGGTACAATCTGACTAATCTTTGGCCGCTTAAATTATTCTCATATGGAAGCCCGCTTCAAGATGTAGGCAGCCGATATTATGTGTAAATAAAAATATTATGGTTGACTGATCAAAGCCACCATTTGGCTAGTGTTGTGAATTCTTTTACTGTATAAGTATTTAGATTTATTTGATAGTAGCATTTCAAGATTTCAGTCATCAGTCAGTGAGTATTTTTAACTGTTGTTATTAAACGATCGCTCAGTATTTCGAAATATGTAAACTCCTTCTAATATAAAAATAACCATAAGGGCGTTTTAACCACAGCACTATTTATGTCGTATTCAATTTAACAGTAATCTATTCCCATCTCCGCTATTGAAACAGAACATATGAGAGCGAAATCTGCACGTCACAGCGTAATTGGTACCCACGGCAACACTTCCGGTAGGGATTCAGACCTTTAATCTATTATATTACTATGTGAACATCGACGCGATGGATGAATGACCGTGGCGCGATTCTTCATTTTATATTCATACAGAAAAATGTTATTTTTTTATTTGGAAATAGGGTGATAAACGAGCACACAGTCCACCTGGATGATAAGTGGATGCTGTGACTCATAGACATCAACATTTATCCTTGATTAAGAAGTTGTCACCCCTAAGGAATAAGATGGGATGCCTCTTTTCCAGTAAAAAGTTCTCTACACTTACCATACGAAACATAGCATCAGTAAGCTGCTATTTTACGCTGGTATGTTGTGAGAGCGTGGTGCATCCCCGGTCGACCCATCCATTCGTGCTATTACTATAATATAGATGCAGCATGACTTTACCACATATATAAATATGCCGTAAATTGTCGGGTACGTTGATGAAATCATAAGTAATGATGACATTTTTGTTCGTAAAGAAATAGCACTTTGTAACTGTACGACACTGTAAGCAGCGTCATCACAACTAAACCTTAATTTAGTCTGAATAGAAATCTAACCATACATTTCTTTCCGAGGATGTTATCAATATTGATATTGAAACTCAGTAAAATGAAACATAATATAATAATAGTCCATCGTGTCATCATTTGCTTGTTAGAATCAGATTCTGCTTTTGTCTTTTTACCACGTTTTTATTAAATCACTTTTATTAATTAATAAACATACACGAGTACTTTTAAACTGACTTCCCGATGGACTAGAAACTTGAGTTTTTGAACATAGCTTAGAGTCGGATTATAATGTAAGAATGATGTAAAAAAAGAAGTTATTTAAAATATAGTTTTTTTATAAAAAGTTTTGATGTAGGTTTTATCCCCGTCAATCGGCGGGTGGCTAAGAACGGTGATAAAAGATACATCGAGGCGAACAAGAAGTTCCGCGCTATTCTCTCGTAATGGGAACGAGGACTTTAGAGGCCATATACCACATCCTGGCTATTGTTGCCTGAGTTCCCCTATTAATCTTTCTATGGTATTTAAATTTGTAAGGACTAACTTATGAATGGACAGTACGAGACAAGGTTTTCAATTTATTGATTAAGTAGGTACTAAAGAATAGTGTGTTGCTTGAAATCGGGGTTAGTATGCCACTTTTAATTTTCTTTATATGATACATAAATAAAGCGGTGCTTCAAACAGCTGCTAGTTAAACCGACTTCAAAAAAGAGACGGTACTCAATTCGACTGTATGTTTTTTTACGTGTGTTACCATGGTGTTACCTCATAACTTTTTACTGGGTGAACCGATTTCGATGATTTCATTTTTTATTTGAAAGCTGGTGCTTCACACGTGGTCCAATCAAGGTCTGACCAATACTTGTTGAGTTATTCTTTATAATTTATATTGAAGTCGATATAAAA